CTGCCTTTTTAAACAAACAAACAGCAATGTTGTTTTTGTTTGACTATCCCACATGAAGATATATATTTCATTTACCATAATTAAACCAAATTTGATCGAATTTGAGCTAAACTTGAACAAACAAATAAGAAAAATGCGTTTCATCAGATCACCCGTGTAGAAATGCGTTTTATTTTCAACGCATTGATCCCGAAATGATCTTATAAAACGCATTTATTTTCTGCGTCTCGTATACCATGATCCTGCAAAACAGCCATAAGAAGGATATAATTATGATTCTTGAACCTACGACCCGAAAGGCGAAGTTGTAACCTGCCAGTACAGCAGTGCCATCCACTGATGACAGTGAGAGGTTTCAGTTCTCTGGCTTGGATGTTTCTTTTGGTTTTGATGCTGCAGCTTTATTGAAGGTACCATCAGAGCCACTTGAATGAAGTTTTGGGAGAGTTATCAATGTCTTGTGTATTAAGTGTGTACACCTGCGTTGTGTGTGTGGATTAACCATTGATATCCAACGTAACATGATACGTATGTAATATAGAGCTGGGCGAAGAATTGATTCCGGAACCGATTCCCGCGATTAATGCTACGGAAGAAAAGTTCCTACTCCTTTTTACGAAAACCAACGGTTACCAGTTACTTTAATCATTTAAATCTTCTTCTTTTTTTAGAATATATTTTTGGAGAAAAAAAGTTGATACTTCGTAGTATTCCGAAATCAAGTTATTCTAGATCCTGTAGATGTTCAAAGCCAACCAGGTAGCCACCGGAAGAAATCACACCTTTAAAAAGTAAGTACATGTAATTGGGTCCGGAGTCGATTCCTACCATTCCTAGCTTTCAAGAATCGGGATCCTAGCCGCCCAGCACTAATGTAATATCCTCTTTGAAGTCTATTCCTACCTCCCCTTGGTGAGCACGGATAGCTATAACATTGTACTTCAAATTAAGAACACATACACGCGCACGCAATGCTCATAGAATGATCATTTACCTTTTCGATACTCTACATCTGTCATTTTAAAAACTATTCGATTATGAAACGGGGGCCAGTTACGGGTCAAACTTTCCGCACGTAGGGCAAGGGGGGGGCGAATTGCATTGCGCCCATTCAACACGCGGCGTTTTATTTACAACCAAACAAAATAAAAAAAAACAACAAAACATAAAAACATGATTCGCTTTGTCAAGAGTGTGAGTCTGTAGTAGTCCTTGTGATACAATTTTGTATAGTACGGAATTATCAAGGTATCATCCACTGTACGTGGATATATTTCCACCCTTTCTGCA